CGGACAAGTTACAAAGCCGGACGATCTCGCGGGTCCCCGGTACGTAGCCCCCTCCTCGACCCGAGTTGTCCGCTCGGGTACACAGTCTAGAACATATACCCAGGATGAACCTAGTATAACAAAACCTCATGCTGGATCCCTAGTAGGAACGCTTATTTGCATTATGTTGCATTTGACATAGGGGACTCAACACAGGGGTTGGGTCCGTCTAGGACAAGCAACCCGGAATGAAAAGACCATCCTGCTGCATCCCGTTTGTTTTGCGCATTTATATGCTTCAGATCTGCATGCTGACCGGTTTCTGAAATCGAGAAATTTTTGAAAAGAGGAAAAGAAAAATAGCAGTGTAGAGAGATAACTACTTATTTTTAAAAAAATAAAATCAATGTCCAAGTAGTGTCAAAACCCCGCCGAGTTTTTTTTAAAAATAAAAACAAAATTTGTCTTTTAGTTTGATTTATTAAAAAAAACAAATATATATAATACAAAAAAAGTTATTTCCTTTTAATCGCTCTCAAAATCCAAAAAAAAATATTTGTTTAAAAATTTAAAAAAAAGGAAAAATTCAAAATTCAAAAAAATATTTTTTCTTTTGTATTATCTCTTTCATAAATTCAAACTAATAGTCCAAATACTTCCTTAGAAGGTTTTTCGAAATTTCAAAAAAAACAGAGTGAAAAGAAGTTAAAATTCAAAGAAAAATATTTCTTTAGTCGTCGTTTCTTTTCAAAAATAGAAAAAAATAGAAAAAAAATCGAAATCCAAAAATATTTTCTCCTTTTCTTTGTAAGTATTTTATTCAAAAAAAAGGTTTAGTTTATTTCCTCTATTCCTGATCGGCCGAACTACGCGGGTCTGATTCTCACCGGATGTGAGATACGTAGGCAAACCTCATTGGTTCCGACCCCAATTTTTAAAAAAATAATCCAAAAATATTTTCTTCCAGTCCTTTCTTTGAAAATATTTTCTGAATTTTTTTTTTAAAAAAAGGTAGTTTTTAAACTCAAAAAAATGGTTTCCTTCTTTCTAATATCTTTCATAAAAAAAAAATCAATAAAAATCAAAATCTAAAATACGGGTTTCCTTCATTCTGAAGTATTTTTCCAAAAAATCCAAAAAATATCAGAAATAAAAATCCCGAAAAAATTGCTCTTTAGTTGTCTTTATTTTGTAAATATCCATAAAAACTTTGAAAATATGAGTCCAAAATATTTTCGCTTTTCTTTAGAAGTGCTTTTGTAAATTAATAAAAAAAACTCAAAAATTTAAAATATTTTCTTAAAAGTGCCTCTTTCGAAAATTAAGAGGCGACAGCCAAAATCCAAAGAAAATATTTTCTTTCTTATTTAGAAAAAGAGAGAACAAATGAAAATTCAAACAAAAATATTTTTTTTACTTCTAAAATTCTCAAAGTTCCAATCAAAAGAAAAGGAATTTTTAGAAGTCTTTCTTTCAGAAAAATAAAAATAGAGTCAAATTCAAAAATCCAAAAAATATCCTTTTCTTCTTTTAAAGCATCTTTTTAGAAAAATCCAAAAGAAACAAAACACAAAAAAAAATCCTTTTCTTCTTTTAAGGCATTTTTTTAAAAAAAAATTATTCAAAAAAAAAGAGTTAGTTTACTTACTCTATTCACGATCTCCCGAACTATGTAAGATCTGATTCATGCGGGGTCATGATACGTAGGCAATCCCCATCGGATTCGATCATAGCTATAAAATAATTGAGTAAAAAATGAAAAAAAAAGAAAAAAAATTAAAAAAAATGCCAAAAACAAAAAAAGAGCGGCAAAAACAAGATCAAGAGTGGTAAAAAGAGGCAGGAATAAAAGAAAAGAGGTATATAGTGAAGAGGGCTAGTTTAAGGCCGGGATGAAACATGCAACCCGTTCAAACACATGGTAGAAGCGTTTAACTGTTTAGGTGCATTGCATCCCAACGTGCGATTTCCTATATGTTAAATGCCTCAAAACTAACAAGGTTGTGTGTGTGAGTAAATTAGCCAGGTTCTGTTCAGGTGATTGGTTTTGTTGGTATGCGTTGATGAATGCGCAACCTTACACGCGACCACAATATTATCCACAAAACTGAGCTCTACTTCCCAGAAATGTCCATCCTTACCAAGCTCCATACAATCCTCAATCAGATGTTCCCCGGTACAATCCTCGCCCAAGAGAGCCTTTCAGAAAGAATCAGTTCACCCCTATTGGTGAATCGTATTCAAGCTTGTTCCAAAAGCTGATTAGGCTAGATCTATTGCAGCCAGTGGACCAAATTCGGCTGAACCCCGAGTCCCCACCGCACTGAGCTGACACTATATGTGAATACCACTCTGGAGCAGTGAGGCACAGTACAAAGGACTGTTGGACCCTCAAAAGGGCAGTTGAAGATTCGATTGAAGCTGAAAGAATTGTTTTTCGGGGTGAAGAAGCTCCTGATGTGATGAACAATTTGTTGCCCGCCCACAACAACATGCCAATAGTCGGAATGATTTGTGAAGATGAGGAATTTGATCCGGCACTGAAGGTCATTACAACCATTGCCGAGATAGAAGAAAAGCCATAAAATGGTTGCCAAACATGAAAATTCCCCATCAGACGGGAATCTCAGTAGCCAGTCTTGCTATCCTTTCTGCATCCAGATTATCTCAGGGTGTGATCCAGATGTTTTACTTTATTGTCTTACTTTCTTGTATAAACCCTTCTATCTTCAAAAAATTCAAAAAAAATATAATCAAAATCAAGAAAAAAATGAAATTAATATTTCACTGTCTAGGAATGTCTCTTCTCTTAATCTTGTCATTTTTCTTTCTTATTCTCTTTTCAATTCTCTTAAATGCAGATTTCAATAACACGACATGCTTGCGGACTTCATGCCCGGATCCTGAAAGCTGTCAGACCTCGAAATAATGAATCAAGGATTAGATCGCAATGAAGATACGTTTAAGAAAATAAAACAAAGAGTTGGAAAAGCTGAAAGAAAATTGGGTCCAGATTGGAAAGGTACATACATTGCAATAAGAGTACTGCCAAAAGAGTGCGTTGTACTTGGGACACATCGAAGGAAATGCCCTTGAAATATCTGTCAATGCAAATGCAGTCAAAAGGTACTATGTTGGATCCTACATACAGTTCTAATATTTTTCGGTTGAGATGACGAAGGCTTTCATTCTCGCTACCCAAACACTATCAACCCTTTGCAAACACATTTGAGCTGGTTACTCTTCTTTGATTACCCTCTTTGGAACCTGAAAGTATTATTGAAAAATAAAATGAAAAAAAAGAAATTGAAATGAAAAAGAAAAATGAAAAAAAAGAAGAAGAAAGAATTGAAAAAATAAGAAAATATATATACAAAAAAAAAAGCAAGAAAGACAATGAAAATGAAAAAAAAAGGAAAAGGAAGGGAGAAAGAAAGTGAAAAACAAAAGGAAAAATAGAAAAAACAAAAGAAAACCAAAAACAAAGTTTGCCTGAACTACGTCTGACTTGATTCTGAAAGGATACGTAGGCAGCCTCTCTCTGGGGTTCAGTCACACCAAAATAAAATCCAAGTGAAACTGGGGCAGAAGTTATAATGGTTCGGCAATGATCCCGCCCAAAAGGTTCCAAAGTTGTAGTTCAATCCAAATTCTTTTCACCCCAAGCCTTGTTCAAGTCCTTCTGATCAATCAGCAAAGTGGTTCAAAATGGGAGGATGGAGTTATTTGGATCTGATACAACAAAATGAGAGGAATAAAATGAGAGAGTCTTATTGGTGAAAACCCACACGGGCACCGTAAGGCGACGGTAAGCAGAGAAAATAAAAATGAGAGTCTTGTTAGTAAAACCCACACCGGCACTATAAGGAGATGGTAAGAAATGAAATGAAAAATGCCAGCTCGTGAAAACCCACAAAGGGCGCCCATGATCGAAAATAAGATCCTCACAGCCATCGGCATCAACAGAGTCCTGGCAAGGTTCCTCGGTATTCAAGGC